TTTGGTACTTCGTGAAGGCCTCTTGGGGGCCTCTCTGGTTTGTTTTGGTGGCCTTTTTGAATGCCTTCCTGGTCACTTTCCCGCCGTTTCGTTGTTTTGTTTTGTCTTCTTGGCATTCTGGTGGCCTCCTCGGGGGCATCTTGGAGGCCTTGAGGGCCATTTTGGAGGGAAGGCTCCGAAGGCGAGTTCCCCTTCCCCACCTTGGGCCCCTCTTGGGTCCATCTGGGGGTGCCTCTTGGGCCGTTTTGGAGGCCTCTATTTGGTCGTCGGGGGCCGTCTCGGGCCATCTTGGGGCGGGGTTGGAGGCTTCTTGGGTCGTCCCTTAAGAGTCCAGGAGCCTTTCGGGCCGTGTTGGGCCTGCATTGCGCAGCCAGAGAAAGCGACGTTGTATAACACTGGACCAACTTAATTACAACAGTTGTTTTTACAGCTGGAGGGCCTCCTGGGCGTCCCTTTGGAGCCCTGTTGGGGGCCTCCTCGGCCATCTGGAGGCCATCTTGGGCCGTATTGGGGCCTTCTTGAGCCGTCTCGGGGGTCGTCGGCGGCGGCCGCGCGGGGGGATTGAATGGCACTTTGGAGCCAAATTGGAAAAAATCGTCGGGGGGATCTCAGGGCAACTCCTAGGGCGGTGGTGACAGAGGGAATTCGAATATGGAGATTTGTGCATATGAAGATAAGGCTGCGCCCTCTGCCGCTGGTCACCGCAGGCTGAGCCATACTCGAAATGAGTGGGGCCAACATGGAGCTCTTCGGGGCGCCTCCATCTTCGGGCAATCCCTGGCAATCTTGGGGCAATCTTGCAGCCTCCATCCAAGGCCCATGTTTCGAGCATCTCAGGGTCTTCCTGGGCCATCCTGGCCGATTTTGGCGGCTTCCAGGTTTTCTCCCAACCATCCTGTGGTGTTGGGTCTTCGTTTTGAAGAGACGGTCCCCGCGTTCCTCCATTTCTTCCTCCACCCCCTTCTCCTCGCTCCTCCATCATCATCATCGTCATCGCCCGTTTCAACGCGCCCCTCACACGTTTCGTGGCCCCATCGGGAGTCCCACTGAGGGTTTCAGTGGCTACGTTCGCATTCGCCCGCCGCGCCCGTTTTCGGCGCACGTTTCGTATCCCCATAGGGAGCTCCATTGAAAACCACAGTGGCTGCGTTCGCATGCGCCCGCCGCACCTTTTTCGGCACACCCTCGCACGTTTCGTGGCCCCATAGGGAGCTCCACCGAAGGCCCCAGTGGTTGCATTCGCATGCGCCCGCCGCACCCTTTTCGGCACACCCCTCACGCGTTTTATGGTCCTCGCAGGGATCTCTACCGAAGGCTTTAGTGGTTGCGATCGCATGCGCCCGCCGCACCCATCTTGGCATACCCCTCGCATGTTTCGCGGAACCATAGGGAGCTCCACCGGCGGCCCCAGTGGCTGCGTTCGCATGCGCCGGCCGCACCCTTGTTCGGCACACCCCTCACACGTTTCGTGGCCTCATATGGAGCTCCACCGACGGCCCCAGTGGCTGCGTTCGCACGCGCCCGCCGCACCCTTCTGCCTTTTCGGCACACCCCTCGCGCGTTTCGTGTCTCCATATGGATTTCCACCGAAGGCCCCAGTGGCTGCGTTCGCATGCGCCCGCCGCACCCTTTTCGGCACACCCCTCACACGTTTCGTGGCCCCATATGGAGCTCCACCGACGGCCCCAGTGGCTGCGTTCGCACGCGCCAGCCGCACCCTTTTGCCTTTTCGGCACGCCCCTCGCACGTTTCGTGTCTCCATATGGATTTCCACCGAAGGCCCCAGTGGCTGCGAACGCATGCGCCCGTCGCGCTCATCTTGGCACACCCCTCACACGTTTCGCGACCCCATAGGGAGCTCTACTGGCAGCCCCAGCGGCTGCGTTCGCATGCGCCTGCCGCACCATTTTCGACACACTCCTCACACGTTTCCTGGCTTCATATGGAGCTCCACCGACGGCCCCAGTGGCTGCGTTCGCATGCGCCCGCCGCACACTTTCCGGCATATCCCTCACACGCTTCCTGGCCCCGTCGGGTGCTCCACCGAATGCCCGAGTGGCTGCGTTCGCATGCGCCCGCCGCACTCATTTCGGCACATCGCTCGCACGTTTCGTGGCTCCATAGGGAGCTGCACCGAAGGCCCCAGTGGCTTCTTTCGCATGCGCCTGCCGCACCCATTTTGGCACACCCCGCACACGGTTCTCGGCCCCATAGGGAGCTCCACCGACGGCCCCAGTGGCTGCGTTCGCATGCGCCCGCCGCACCTTGTTCGGCACACCCCTCATAAGTTTCGTGGCCCCATAGGGTCTCACGCATACATTTGGTTGGGTCCTTCACCGGGTTGATTTCCTAACCATCCTGTGGTGTTGGGTCTTCGTTTTGAATAGAGACGGTCTCCGCGCCTCCTCCCTCTCCTCTCCTCTCGTCCTCCTCTTCTCCTCCTCCTCTTCTCCTCCTCCTCCTCCCCCTCCCCCCTCCTGACTAACGCGCACCCCTCACAAGTTTCGTGGCCCCATAGGGAGCTCCACCGAAGGCCCTGGTGCCAGCGCTCGCATGCGGCCTCCGTATTTTTTTTGGCACACTCCTCCCATGTTTCGTGGCTCCTATAGGGGGCTCCACCAAAGGCCCAGATGCCAGCGCTCGCTTCTGGTCTCTGCACCCATTTTGGCACACCCCTCAAACGTGTCGTGGCCCCCTAGGGAACTCCACCGAAGGCCCAGAAGCGAAGGCCTATATGTTAGCGCTCGCATGCGGTCTCCGCACCAATTTTGGCACACCCCTCACACGTTTCGTAACCCCATAGGTATCCCCATCGAAGGCTCAAATGACAGAGCTGGCATGCGCCCGCCGCACCATGGTAGGCACACCCCTCACACTTTTCTTGGCCCCATAGGAGCTCCACCGACGGCCCAAACGCCAGCGCTCGCATGCGACCGCCGCACCCATGTTGGCACACCCCTCACACGTTTCGTGGCCCCATGTGGAGCTCCACCGAAGGCCCAGATGCCAGCGCTCGCGTGCGCCCGCCGTACCTTGTTCGGCGCACCCCTCACACCCTTCGTGAGCCCATAGGGAACTCCACCGAACACGGTGCACACAACGACGGTAGCCACAATTGCAGATGGTTGGGTCTTTCGCCAGGCAAATTCTTTACGCTTCGCGTATCCCCACCAGCCCATCTCACAACAGCAACTCTTGCGAAGCATGCCGACAGTCGTGTTTTTCAGGCGTGTTTCCGCCTGCCCCCGCATATCTCCCCTGTTCCTCCTTCCTCCCGCCTCCTTGTACATCCTCCTTGTGGTGGGGGGAGCGGGAGAAGGACGAGGCGGAGGAGGAGGGAGAGAAAGCGCTCCTCGTGGTTTGAGTCGTTTGGGGTTTCTCGTCCTGGTGTGAGTCGTTCGGGCCCTTCTTCCTGGTGTGAGTCGTTCGGGCTCTTCGTGGTGTGAGTCGTTCGGGCTCTTCGTCCTGGTGTGAGTCGTTCGGGCTTCTCGTGGTGTGAGTTGTTCGGGCCCCTCGTCCTGGTGTGAGTCGTTCGGGCCCCTCCTCCTGCCCGTCCAGAAACGACGCCCAGGCGAGTAGAGGGTCGTCCTGATGGGCTTTTCGGCGTCTTGGGTGCCTCGGGGGGGCCTCTTTGGGCCGTTTGGGATCCTCTTGGGGGCCTCCTGGGGGCCTCTTGGGGCCGTCTTGGGGCCTCTTGGTGCCTCCTGGGCGCTTCTTGGGGCCATCTTAGAGGAAATCGATCAAAGAAGAGGGGAGCTTTAATTAGCGCTGCCCCCTCCGACGGCCAAAATGGGGCCAAAACCTTAGTAAAATCAATGATTTTGGCTTGAAAGAAGAGGGGAGCTTCAATTAGCGCTGCCCCCTCAGAAAGCCAAAATGGGGCCAAAACCGTAGTAAAATCAATGATTTTTGCTTCACAGAAGAGGAGAGCACTTTTCTCCCCCCCCCCGTCGGGGCCAGAATCCTCGTGAGGGGTGTCGTTTTTTAGCCCTCCCAGGGGTCGAAAAAGACCCCCCCGGCCACCCGCGGAGGGACCTCTCCAGGCCCAGGGGGAGGGGGTAGGGGGAGGGGTAAACCCCTCCCCGAAGGGGAAGAAGGGGGGTTGAGAACAGAGAGAGCTCCCTAAACCACTCACGCCCAAAGGGCTGGTGGGATTTTGGGCCACCGTTGGGCCATTTTGGGCAATCTCGGGGGCTGTGGGGGTTGACTTGGAAGGATATTTGGACATCTTGGGGCAAAACACGGGGTACGCAAGAAACGTTGAAACTATTTTGGACTTTTTCCATTGTTTTTGCTCTCTCGGGTGCGTCCTGTGCCGCTCTGAGCCATCTTGGGTACATATTTGGGCCACATTCAGCAGTCTGTGGGTTTCGAAACACTCTTCGGGGCCTCCTTGGGCCGTCTTCGAGGCCTCGTGAGCCCTCGTGGCTGCGCGGGGGTGCCCCAATGTTCATCCCCAGGCAACCCAGGGCGGCCAGGAATCCGGGGGACCCCCCTTCTCCACAGGTGGTGTTTTTTGGGGCGCCGCGGGCCCCCCTCGCAGACAGCAGACGCGAGAAGATTGGAAAGACAGAGAGAGAGAGAGAGAGAGAAAGCGATAGAGAGAGAGAGAGAGAGAGAGAGAGAGAGAGAGAAAAAAAGAGAGAAAGCGAAAGAGAGAGCGAGAACGAGAGAGAGAGAGAGAGGCAATAACCAAACACACAAACGACAGCACAAGGAACGCGAGGCAGCAGCCTAGCAGCAACCGCTGCAGCCCGGCGCCTCCCACGGGGGGTTGGCAGATTTTTGGGCCTTCGGAGGCCTGGGAGTGGGCGGAAACATATCGTTTAACCGATCCCCATCCCCATCCCCATCCCCTTCGAGACCCCACCAAGTTGCCACCCCCCTCGAAACCCGAAGGAAACGACCTATATCCCCATCTAGGGGGGTAAATCGGCCAGTGGGGCCCAGGCCACGCCGCTGGGGATGGGGATCGGTGAAACGATGCTCAAAGTGCCGAGGACTCCCGCGGCCACCTGACGGGCCTGACGCGCGACGCGCTCTCGGAGCACGGCGGCGCGGTGGACTTCGAGGACGCCCGCGGTCGCCTGCTGGAGCTGCTGGGGCCGCGGACCCTGCTGGTCGGCTACCGGGTGGGCGGCGCGCTAGAGGCGCCACTCGCCAGAGGAGGAGGAGGAGGAGGGAGGAGGAGGAAGAGGAAGAGGAGGAGGAGGAGGAGGAGGAGGAGGAGGGAGGAGGAGGAGGAGGAGGAGGTATGGCGGAGGAGGAGGAGGAAGGCGGAAGGAGGAGGAAGAAGGAGGAGAAGGATGATTAGGCGAGGATGAGGAGGGGAGGAGGTCGGCGGAGGAGTAATAGACGGAGGAGTGATTATGATTCGTCGCTTCTGGCTTTGTTCGTGAGTGTCCGTATGCTTACCCGCACTAACACCCCCCTCATAGCGTCAATCCTCGTTCTCGCCCACCAGTGCCCCACATGGGAGGCCCTCGGGTGGGGGTCTTCCACGGCAGGATATCGCTTTCGAAGACTGACCATAAACGCAGCCAGGACAAGGGGATGAGGAGGCGTTAGGAGGAGAATGGGAGGAGAGGAGGGAGGAGGAATGAAGGAAGGGATGAGAGGGGAGGGAGAGGAGAAATTAGGTAGGATTGGAAGGAGGAGGAGTAGGATGAGATGAGGGGAGGAATGTAGTTTTATTAACCGTCAAACCTGCTTGCGCATGCCAAGTCTTAGGGAGCACGTATTTGTTTACTTATAGGCCCCCCCCCCCCCCACGCTGGGGGGAAGGCAGCACACGTGCCGGAAGCACGGTGGCAGTGGCAGCGGCAGCAGCAGTTGAGAGTGCGGCGGTGACAGCCGCCGTCGTAGAAGTATTTGGGGCAGGAGGACGGGGGAGTTTGTGAGCGCAGTCCAACCTCCTCCCTACCTCCCCTCCCCTTCCCCTCTCTTTCTCCTCCCCTTTCCCTCCATTTCCTCTTCTTCCAACCCTTCATTCTCTGTAGGAGCCGTTCCTGCCTGCAGGCTGTATCGCTGCTGGCAAGCTCCCTCCCTCCTCCCTGCTCTCCTTCCCTCCTCCCTCCTGCTGCTACTCTTCATAGTCCTGCTCATTCTCCTTGCTCCTCCTTCTTTGCCTCCCCGTTCTCCTCCCAGATCCTCCCCCTTTTCCTTCCCCTTCTTCAACACCTCCTCCTCCTCCTGTTCCTGCTTCCTCCTGCTCTTTCCTCCTTCCTCCTGCTCCTGCTACTGCTCCTGCTGCTGCTGCTCCTCCTCTTCCTCCTCCGCCTCCTCCTTCGCCTTTTTTGTTTTTTTTGTTTTTGCATCGGTGGCCCCCTGCGCAGCAGGAGGGCGGGTCAGTCGACGCGACAGAGGCCGCCTAGGGCGTGCGCGGCGGGCGTGCGCGGCCGATGCCCAGGGCATCGGGGGGTGCAAACCCAGGAAGGGAGGGCAGGGGAGGGAGCCACGAGCCAGGAGGGCCGAGCGGAGCAGAGGCCGGAAAGGAGAGCCAGGCGGAGCACGGGGGAGGAAGGCGGGGGAGGGCGGGGCAGGAGGGAGACGGAGGGAAGGGCGGAGCAAGGGGCGAAAGGAAGGAGCGGGGCAAAGAGGAGGAGGGACACAGCCGAGCAGGGCAGGCCCGAACGGGCGCGACCGTGACACCCGAGCGGGAGCAAGAGCTACGGCAGGACAGACACGACACGCGACACTACGACAACGAGACGACCAAGACGACGAACGCCACCGACAAAACGACTCCGGGCGACGAGAACGACACGGACCTGCGCGGCGGCCCAGAGGCGGCCCCGAGGGGCCGTCGACCCTCCCCCCCGACTGGAGGGTTTCTCCGAAAGGCTTCGGCGACGCGTCCTCCTCCTCCTCCTTCTCCTCCTCCCCTCCTCCCTCCTCCTCCTCCTTCTCCTCCTCCTCCTCCTCCTCCTCCTCCTCCTCCTCCTCCTCCATCTCGCCTCCCTCCTTCTCCTCCTCCGCCTCCTCCTCCTCCTCCTCCTCCTCTTCCTTCCTCTCCCTCCTCCTCCCTCCTCTCCTCTCCTCCTCTCCTCTCCTCCTCCTCCTCCTCCTCCTCCTCCTCCTCCTCCTCCTCCTCCTCCTCCTCCTCCTCCTCCCTGCTCCTCCTCCTCCTCCTCCTCCTCCTCCTCCTCCTCCTCCTCGGGTCGCCTACGACCCCGGGGGAAACCGTGCACCCCTTGGTCGGGGAGCGGACATGCCCCCGGGGGCAACCGCGACACGCGAAGACAGGACGACGCCCGAGGATCAGAGGGCAGGAGGGAGCCGCCTGGGTTCGCACCCCCCAGCCCAGTCACTGGTGGCTTGTCTTGAGCTGCGGTGCACGAGGACCTTCGACCCACGATGGAAGAGCCGGGGGTGGCCGCACGGCTGGAGTCGCCCCGAACCCATCTGTTCCTGTGGAGGTGTCCGCCCCACCGGGATGGAGCGCCCCCCCAAGTCCCCCTTCCCTCGAACCAGCCCGCGCTTTGGCGCCCAGGGTGCCAACCCCCCCCAAAAACTCCCTCCTCCTCCTCCCTCCTCCTCCTCGTCCCCCGTCGTCCTCCTCCTCCTCCTCCTCCTCCTCCTCCTCCTCCTCCTCCTCCTCCTCCTCCTCCTCCTCCTCCCCCTCCTGCTCCCTGCTTCCTACTTCCTGCTCCCCCCTCCGCTCCAAGGCGCTGCGGCTGTCGCACGGCGCTGTGGTCGATGTCGGATTGCTGTTCGCCGTGGAGGGGCGGAAGCAGCACCAGGCCCGGCCTCGGCGCGAGGAGGAGGAAGATTGATGATGATGGTGATGATGATGATGATGAGTGATGATGATGAGGAGGATACTGAGGAAGGAGGGGGAAGAAAGAGGAACAGGTGGAGGAGGATGAGAAGGATGAAAGTTCGACGAGGAGGATCGGTTCGACGACGAAGACGATGATGATGATGATGATGATGATGATGATGATGATGATGATGATACTGCTGCTGCTGATGACGATGATCAGGATGAGGATGAGGATGACGATGATGAGGATGTGGATGAGGATGTGAGGACTCTGATTATGATGATGGTGGTGGTGATGCTGATCGTGATGGTGATGGTAATGGCGATGCTGATCGTGATGATGATACTGATGATAATGATGATAATGGTGATGATGATTATGATGAGGATGAGGATGAGGACGAGGATGATGGTGATGATGATGATGGTGGTGGTGGTGGTAATGGTGATGAGGATGAAGATGAGGAGGAGGATGAGGTAGGAGGAGGATTGGCCAGGAGGGTGAGGATGGTACTTTCGACTATGATGCTAGACTTGATGATGATCATGCCGATGATGATGCTGATGCTGATGCTGATGTTGATGCTGATGCTGATGCTGCTGATGATGAGGATGATGGTGGTAGTGATGATGCTGATGCTGATTAGGATGATGATGATGATGCTGATGCTGCTGCTGACGATGATGATGATGATGATGATGATGATGATGATGATGAGGATGATTGTGGTGCTGATGCTGATGCTTATGATGCTGATGATAATGATGACAATGATGACGATGATGAGGATGCTGTTTTTGATGACGATGATGATGAGAAGGGGGGATGATGAGGATGACGGTGAGGACGATAATGATGATGCTGATGCTGACGCTGATCGTGATGATGATGCTGATGCTGCTGCTGATGATGGTGGTGATGATGATGACGATGATGATGGTGGTGGTGATGATGATAATGCGGATGATGGTGGTGGTGGTGATTGTTATGGTCATGATGATGACGCTGCTGATGGTGATAACGATGATGACGATGTTGATGACGATGAGGATGCAGACGACGACGTTGATACGATCATGCGGATGATAATGATGATGATAATGATGATGATGACGCTGATGCTGATGCTGATGATGATGCTGATGCTCCTGCTGCTGATGCGGATGAGGATGCTGATGGCGATGATTATGGTGCTGATGATGATGACGATGATGATGATGGCGATGACTTTGATGATGATGTTGGCAATGCTGATGATGATTATGATGGTGATGATGATGACGGTGATGGTCGTGATGATGATGCTGATGATGCTGCTGATGATGATGATGCTGATGATGATGAGGATGATGGACAACGTGGTGGAGGTGGTGGTGGCAATGGTGATGCTGATGACTAGGAGGGGGAGGATGATAAGATTGTCGGAGGAGGAGAAGGAGGAGGAGGCGGCCAAGGAGGGGGAAAAGATGGAGGAACATGGGGATGAGGAGTTGGAGGAAAGGTTCGAGGACGATGATATGCTCGACGACGGTGATGATGCTGATGCTGATGCTGCTGATGATGCTGACGATGCTGATAAAGATGAATATGCTGCTGATGCTGTTGCTCATGCTGATGATGATAATGATGATCATGATACTGATGATGATGATGATGATGATGATGATGATGATGATGATGATGCTGATGATGCTGATGATGATGATGATGATGATAATGTTGATGCTGCTGCTGATGATGCTGATGATGATGATGAGGATGATGACAATGCATATTACGCTGATGATGATGCTGATGATGCTGATAATGCTGATGATGCTGATGATGATGCTGCTGCTTTTGGTGATGATGATGAGGAGGATGAGCATGGTGGTGATGGTGGTGGTGGTGATGCTGATTGTGATTGTGATGGTGATGGTTATGCTGATGGTGATGATGATACGGAGGAGGGGGCTGAGGAGGAAGTAGGAGGAGAAGGTAGGAGGAGGAGGTATAGGAGTCGCAGGGCCATGCGGAGGAGGAGGAGGCGGAGGAGAGGTTGGACGAGGAAGCTATGTTCGATGATGATGATGATGATGATGCCGATGCTGCTGATGATGCTGCTGCCGCTGCTGATGATGATGCTGCTGATCATGATGGTGGTGATGATACGGATGAGGAGCAGGATGAGGATGAGGACGATGACGATGCTGATGATGATGAAGATGATGATGCTGATGGTGATGGTGTTGGTTATGGTGATGGTGATTGTGATGGTGATGATGATGCTGATGCTGACGTCGATGATGCCGATGGTGGTGATGCTGACGACGATGATGACGATGAAGCTGATGCTGACGCGATGATGATGCTGACGACGGTGATGATGTTGCTGCTGCTGATGTGGTGGTGATAATGGGAATGAGGATGCTGATGATGCGGATGGGGATGCGGACTAACACGACGATGATGCTGGTGCTAATGCTGATGCTGATGCTGATGCTGCTGATAATGATGATGCCGCTGATGACTTTGGTGGTGGTGGTGGTGGTGGTGGTGACGGTGATGGTGACGGTGATGATGGTGATGATGATGCTGCTGTTGATGATGATGATGATGACGATGACGATGATGATGATGATGATGATGATGATGATGATGATGATGATGATGATGATGATGATGATGATGATGTTGATGATGATGCTGATGATGCTGATGATGATGCTGGTGGAGGAGGTCGTGTTGATGATGACGATGAAGATGCTGATAATGATGGTCATGATGACGAGGAGGAGGAGGATCAGTAGGAGGAGGAGGTCTGAGGAGCAGGTAGATGTGGAGCAGGAGTATAAGCAGGAGGAGGAGGAGGAGAAGGATGAGGAGGACAAGTTCGAGGATGAGGATAGGTCCGACGATGATAATGATAATGATGATGCTGATGATGATGATGATGATGCTGATAACGATGATGATTATGCTAATGATGCTGATGATGATGGTGCTGATGCTGATGCTGATGATGATGCTGATCATGCTGATGCTGATCATGATGATGATGATGGTGATGATGATGATGGTGATGAGGATGCATATTAAGATGCTGTGCTGATTATGATGATGCTGATGATGACAATACTGATGATGATGCTGCTGATGATGATGGCGATGATGCTGATGATACTGATGACGACGACGATGATGATGATGATGAGGAGGAGGAGGAGGAGGTGGAGGAGGTTGTGGTGGAGGAGTAGGAGGAGGTTGATGAGTTTGTCCAAGATGCAGAAGCGATGCAGCAATACACCCTCCCGTCCTACGTTTCATTCATCAGTCCAAGATGTATGTTTTTACTGCGCCAAGCGGCGCCCCCTTGAAAGATGAGCGCCCCATGGGCCAGCACTTCAGGCGGGAGCTCCGCTTGGAAAGAAACTACTCTCCACCCAGCCACAGCTCCGCTCTGCAAAGCAGCCGCCCTCCGTCCATGCAGAAGTCTGACGAGGTCTCGCACCAGAGCCCTATGTTGAAATGGAACCGCCCTCCAACCGCGTCGCTGCTGTACAAGTTTACACGTGCTCGTGCACTCTGAGGAAGTCTCCGACCAGATGTCCATGATCCTGGAGCAGTTCTTCCAACGCAATTCAAAGCAATGCTTGGCCTTGCTTGGCATTGTTGGGCGTTGCTTGGTATTGCTTGGCATTGTTTGGCATTGAGATGGCCGAGGAAGGCAGCAAAGAGCCAAGACCAAGGAACCCGTGCATGGCCGAGCGCCGCCAGTGCAAGGAATCACGACCAAGGTATCTGAGCAACGCCGAGCTCCACCAATATTAGGGACATGAACCAATACACCTGGGCAGCGCCGAGCGCCGCCTCGGACTTGGGGCGTGGCACCCACCAGCTTTTTCACAACACAAGTCGGAGCCCCTTAGGCAAAGCCTACGCGGGGAATGTTGTGAAGGAACTTACCGCCATCCGCTTATATCACGTGGAGTTTTCAAGACAAGTGTGCGCGGCGCCAAGGCGAGAACCCCATTTTGAACACCGTTCGCCCTCCATCCGTGCAACTGTGGAACATTCTAAGCTTCAGTATCGCAGCAGTGAGGAGGCCTCATGCAAAACGCCCAGCCCACGCTAACGACACGTCTCATGGTGCGACAGGGAGGCGTTATTTGTAAGGACGAGGGATGGAGGATGGAGGAAAGGGGGAGGAGGAGGAGAGGGGGAAAGAGGGAGGGAGGGAAGGATGATGATGAGGAGGAGGAGGAGGCGGAGGAGGCGAGGAGGCGGAGGAAGAGTAGGAGGAGGAGGAGCAGGAGGAGGAGGAGTAGAGGAAGGAAGAAGAGGAGGGAGAAAGAGAAGATGATGATGCAGAAGAAGAAGATGAGGAGGAAGGAGGAGGAGCAGGAGGAGGAGGAGGAGGAGGAGGTCGAAGAGGGGAGGGAGGGAGGGAGGGAGGGAGGGATGGGAGGGAGTACGCTGTCTCCCCTCTCGCCACGCGCGCTGTGAATCTGGCATGGCGTGGGGCCACGCGCTGCGCGGCGAGCACCGATGGGCACAGTGCCCTCCAGGCTTGACCCAGGGAGGGAGGGAGGTAAGGGAGGAGGGAGGAGGGAGGAGGGAGGGGGTAGGGCGGATGGAGGAGGGAGGAGGGAGCAGGGAGTAGGTAGGAGGGAGCTCCACCGCTGGGGGCTTTTCCAGAGGCGTGGCTGCTCCCAGCGCCTCGAGTCGCCCGAAAACCGAGCGACGTGCAGTTGATTTGCAAAGATCCCCCTCTTTCGGCCACCGTGGTGGAGGAGGTGGAGGGGAAGGGGGGTCCGTCGTCTCCCCTCTTTTTGTCACCGACGAGCGATTTCTCCAGGCTTCCCAGCGACATGTAGGTGATCCGCGAAGACCCCCCGTCGGCCACCCTGGCGGAGGAGGTGGAGCGGGAGGGGGGTCAGTCGTTACCCCGCCGTCTCCCCAGCCTTCACCACCGACATGCGGAGAGAGGCGCTCGAGTGCCCCAGTCGATCGGCAGACCTGCCCGCATCTTTAGGGCGGTCAGGAGGGGCGAAGCTTCCACCGCGAAGGAGGAGCAAGAGCGGCAGGGAGGCCTCCAGAGGACTCCCCGCCGCTCTTTCCCTCAGGCCCCCGCAGGCCTCCCCGCAGGCCTCCCCGCAGGCCACTCGGGGCTCCCAGAGGCCCCCGGCAGGCCCCCCGCAGGCCCCTGCAGGCCTCCCGCAGGCTTGCAGAGGTCCCCGCAGGCCTCCGGGGGCCTCCAGAGGCCGCCAAGGGCCTCCAGAGGCCGAGGGAGGGCCGGAAGCGTCCAAAAACGTCGCGATCCTCGATGGCCGCCGGCCGCCCCCCCCCCGCCCCGCAGAGGGGGGAGCGGCCCAGGGCTGGCCAGAGAGGGCGGCAGACGGCCGCGACGCCCACGTCGTGCTTCGAGGTCTTGAGCCTGCTCCGGCACAGCCCGAAGTGCCCCACGCTCTGATGAGGGCGCGCCGGCCGTCCGCGGTCCCTGCCTGCCTGCCTCCCCGCCTTTCCTTCTGCCGCCGTGCCTGATGGCGTTGGGGGTCCTCGTTTTGGATCCGCTGGGCCGCGCCACACCTCCTCCTCCTCCTCCTTCTCCTCCTCCCCTTTCTCCTCCTCCTCCTCCTCATCATCACCATCAGCATCGTCATCATCATCAGTATCATCATCAACATCATCATCATCAGCATCATCATCATCATCAACACCATCATCAGCATCAACACCAGCATAAACATCAGCATCATCATCAGCATTATCATCAGTATCATCATCAGCATCAGCATCATCATCATCATCATCATCATCATCATCATCATCATCATCATCATCATCATCATCATCATCATCATCATCATCATCATCATCATCATCATCATCATCATCATCATCATCATCATCATCATCATCATCATCATCATCATCATCATCATCATCATCATCATCATCATCATCATCATCATCATCATCATCATCATCATCATCATCATCATCATCATCATCATCATCATCACCATCAGCAGCAGCAGCAGCATCATCATCATCATCCTCATCCCCCTCCTCGTGCTTATGCTCTCCGCATGCCCATGTCGTCACACACACCCCTCGCGTGTTTCGTGACCCCGCGGGGAGCCTCACCAAAGGCCCAAGTGGCGAGGTTCGCACGCGCCCCCCCCCCCGCCCATGTGGGCACACCCTTCACGCGTAGAGTGGCCGCACTGGGGTCTTCCCCCCTCCTTCGTTCCACCTGCCTTGCGGTATTTACATTTGCATGTGTCCGTGTCCTTCGCCAGGATAGTTTTCACAGCGTATGCTCCCAGAGGTCTGGATCCCTTCCTAGGGACCGGCTGTTCATACCGAGTAGTTCCGAATCGTCCTGTGGTGAGTTGGGTCCTTGAGTTGAGCCCCGCGACTCTTCCCATCCCGCCTCCCTTTCCTCCCCCTCCCGACTCAGCTTTCCGCTTCACATTTCTCACATGCTTGTGCCCCACACGGAGCTCCGCCGAAGGCCCCGATGGCAAAATCCACACGTGTCCCCCCGCCCATCCCGGCACACTCTTCACACGCGTCGTGGCCCCGCAGGGAGCTCCACCGAAGGCCCCAGTGACAAAGTCCATATGCATCGCCCCGACCAGTCGGCACACCTCTCACACGCTTCGTGGCCACACAGCGAGCTCCACTGAATGCCCTAGTGGCAAAGTCCGCATGCACCCCCCGACAATTTCGGCACACCCCTCACACGCTTCGTGGCTACACAGGCAGCTCCACCGAAAGCCCCAGTGGCGAAGTCCGCATGCGTCCTCCCGCCCACATCGGCATACCCCTCACACGCGTCGTGGCCCCATATGGAACTCTGCCGAAGGCCCCCTGGTGGCAAAGTCCCCATGGCCTCCCGCATTTCGGCACGCCCTTCACACGCGTCGTGGCCCCACATGGAGCTCCACCGAAGGCCCCAACAGCAAAGTCCGCATGCGTCGCTCCGCCCATTTCGGCACACCCCTCACACGCTTCGTGGCCCCACATGGAGCTCCACCGAAGGCCCCAACAGCAAAGTCCGCATGCGTCCTCCCGCCCACATCGGCACACCCCTCACACGCTTGTGGCCCCACAGGGAGCTCCACCCCTGCGGTACTTACACTTGCATATGGCTGGGTCCTTCGCCTGGATATTTGTCTGACGGCACGAGGGCCTGGCGAGGTCCCCAGCAGTCCGAAAATTGACTAAAATCTCCCGCCGTGATGTTTCCGCGACGCGAGAGGATGTCAGGGGAGACTCCCCTGCCGAGCGCGCGGGCCCGCCAGGTGCACCCCCTGCGCTACATCGCGGAGCGGGTGCTGGGCCTGGAGCCAGACGAAGGCATGCTGCAGGACGCGCTGGAGTTCGCCCAGCTGTCCATGAGGCGGGCAGCCGCCCTCTTGGGGTCATTCTCGGGCCAAAGAGTGCACTCTGACGCCTCGCTGGGGTCTGCTCCTCCTCCCCCAGCCTGACTGCGTATGCCTCGTTTTTGAGAACGGCCCTGATCCTGTGTCTGAGCAACTTGATGCCCGATGCGAGTCAACGCTTGCAGACGTCCAAAAGTTTGGCTTATCGCAGCCCGACTGCCATGACGACGACCACGACGACGACGGCAGGAACAAACATTATCTTGGCGAAGGGCCAAATCATAAGCAGCTTCGAGTATCGCGGGACAGGTGAAAAGGAGGAGGGGCCACGAAAAGCCGCTGGGCTCGCGGAGGAGTGCGTTGTTCGGCGCGAGCCCCGGGCGCCGCCATTTCGTGCCCACTTCCTTCCTAGCTCTTTCACTCCCCTCGTCGTTTCCACTGTGCGGCGTTGCGTGCCTGCCCGCCCAGCCCGCGGTGGCCCGAGCCCCGGGCCCCGCCGTTCGGCATCCATTTCCTTCTCTCCCAGTTCTCCCATCTTCGTCCTTGCGCCCTGGCGGCCGCGGCTCAGGGCACCGCGCGTTGCGGAGTTGCCGCGGCGCACGCTGGTCGCCCCGAAGGAGTCCCGGCGACGCGCGCGGGATGTCCGCGGCACGGAGCAACAAAAACAGGGGTGGGTGACAACGGGCCAGGCGCTGGGCAGAGTGCTCGGCCGTCGGGCATCTCCTGGAGGCAGAGCGCAAGGGAGCCCACGGGAGCCCACGGGGCCACGAAAGGCGTGGAGGGCGTGCCTTCAGTGGGGCTCCGTCTGGGCCACGAAACGTGTGAGGGGTGTGGCGACATGGACGTGCGGTGGGCGGGGGGCCGCATGTGGTCCCTGCCTTCCGGTGGAATTTCTCATGGGGCCTCGGAACTCGTGAAGGGTGTGCCGAAATGCACATGCGGTGGGCGGGGAGCCGCATGTGGACCATGCCAATGGGGCCTTCGGTGGAATTCCCGATGGGGCCACGAACCGTATGAGGAGTTTGTCGAAACGGACATCTGGGGGGGCGGGGACCCGTATGCAGACCTTGCCATTGACGACTTCGGTGGGGTTCCCTATGGGGCCACGCAGCGTTTGGGGAGTGTACCGAAATGGACACGGGGTGTGCGGAGAGCCGCATGTGGCCCCTGCCACTTGGGTCTTCGGTGGAATTACCTATGGGGCCACGAAGCGTGTGAAAACATCCGACATGGACATGCGGCGCGCGGGGAACCGCATGTGGACCTTGCCAGTGGGCCCTTCGGTGGAGCTCCCGATGGGGCCACGAAACGTGTCAGGATTTGTCGGAACGGACATGCGGCGGGGCGGGGAACCGCATGTAGACCTTGCCATTGGCGACTTCGGTGGGGTTTCCCAGGGGGTGTCGAAGTGTGTGGGGTTTCTGGTGGAGTTCCATATGCGGCCAAAAAACGTGTGAGGGGTGTGCCAACATGGACATGTGGTGAACGGGGAACCGCATGTGGACCTTGCCACAAGGGCCTTGAGCGGAGTTCCCGATGGGGCCGTGAAGCGTGTGAGGGGCGTGGCGAACAGGCTGACATGCGGAAGGCAAAGGCAATCATGGGAGAAAGGAGGGGGAGAGGAAGAGGAGGAGGAGGAGGAGAGAGGACGCGGGTGTCTCTCTCTCTCTCTCTTTTTGTTTTGTTGATTTGTTCCCCCTCTCTCTCTCTCTCTCTTTCTCTCTTCACAGCGATGACCCAACACCACAGGATGGTTGGGAATAAACACGAGCCCGCCTGCTCCTCCTCGACCTCGTCCTCGTCCTCGTCCTCCTCCTCTTCCTCCTCCTCCTGGTCCTCGTCCTCTTTTTCTTCCTCCTCCTCCTCCTCCTCCTCCTCCGCTTCCCCCGTCCAACCTCAAGAGTCGGCCCCCTGATCTCTCCTGGGGTGCATTCTGACCAGAATTTCAAGGCTGATCCAGCCGCGGGGACGAAGAGGCCCCCCCTGGAACCTTAGAAAATTTGAGAGACACTCAAAAACTAAACCCTCGACCCTCGACCGTCGGTCTTCCTCTTTGTCCTCCTCCTCACTCTCCTCCTCCTCCTCCTCCTTCCTCTTCCTCTTCCTCTTCCTCTTCCTCTTCCTCTTCCTCTTCCTCTTCCTCCTCTTCTGATTTTTATTCTATTTCTATCATTCTCCTCCTCCCGCTCCCCGATCCTCCGACTGCCACGACGGCGACCACGACGACGACGGCAGAGGAGATGACGGCGTCGACGACCACGAAGACGGCGACGAAAACGCACGACGCGGGCGAGGCTCGCGCGGCACGAGGGCAGGCAGCGCGCGCCGACCGCGCCGTTCCCGCCGCGCGAGCCGCGGCCGTGGGAGCTCGTAGGCGGGTTCTCGTCTGCTTTCTTTTCTCCGCCTACGCAGCCCGCGCCCCTTCTCCGCCAGCACCCAGTCAAAAGGTCTACACGATCTGAACGGCTCTGTCCTTTCCAATTTTCTGCTCCTCCCTTTTCCGCCGTGCCCCAGGTAGCTTTCGGTGCACCCCGCCTTTAGCCCGAACGGTGCCTGACCGCTTCCGCACCTTTGCGCCCGCTGAGTTGAACATTTCGTTTCTGTCGTCGCCGCAGGACCCAGACCCCCCCAGATCATGAAAGAATCATGGCCGGAGGTTTTGCCAGTTTTTGGCCTCTGGGCCTTCGCAGGGCCCCAGTGCCGTCAGAAAAGGACTCAGGATGAAAAGCCGGTCCCAGGGAATGTGTCGAGATCTCTGGGGGTCCACATCATGAAAAATCATTACTTTGGTGGTTTGGGAGGAAGAGGAAAAGGAGGAGGAGGAGGAGGAGGAGGAGAATGAGGAGGAGGAGGAGCAGGAGGAGGAGGAGGAGGAGGAGGAGGAGGAGGAGGAGGAGGAGGAGGAGGAGGAAAAAGGAGGATTGAAGAGGGTCGAGGAGGAGAAGGGGGACGAGGAGGAGGATACGAGGGATGAGGGGGAGGAGGAACATGATGAAGAGGAGGGGGACCAGTGTAAACCCAATAATCATCAAAGTCTTACCACGAGTGTGCGCGGCGGTAAGGCGAGAACCGCATTCGGGAAATGAGCCGCCCTCTGTGAACCTCCTTGCAAGTTTTTACGACGAGTGTTGCGGTGCTAAGGCGAGAGTCACATGGTGAGAACCACCCGCCTTCACTCCGCGAAGCTCTTGCAAATTTGTAAGACGAATGTGCGCGGCGCTACAGCGAGAACCATACATTGAAAACGACCCGCCCTCCATCCGGGAAGCTATGACGAATGTGCGCTACGCTGAGGCAGGACCACATTTTGCTAAGGAGCCGCCCTCGTTCCGTGAAGCTCTTGCAAATTTGTATAAAACGATCGTGCCCGGTGCTAAGGCGAGAGCCGTATTTTGAAAACCATCCAGCCTCCATTTGTGAAGCTGTTGCCAGTATTTAAGCTTCAGGCTCATAAATGTTAAGGAAGTTTCCGGCGAACCGCCCAGCCCGCCCTTCCGACTGGCCTCGGGGTGCGACGGGGAGGAGTTATTCATAAGGAAAAGGAATGGAGGGGCGGAGGAGGAGGAGGAGGTGCAGGAGGAGGAGGAGAAGGAGGAGGAGGAAGAGGAGGAGGAGCAGGAGGAGGAAAAGGAGGAGGAGGAGGAGGAGGAGGAGGAGGAGGAGGAGGAGGAGGAGGAGGAGGAGGAGCATCGAGGTCGAGAGTCAACCCAAGGTTCACCAACGATGTTGGAGTACACCCTCCCTTCAAACTCCCTCTTCATAGGCCACTGCAAGGGTTCCCTTCCACTGATGGAAGTGGCCCGTCGGGGGAGAACCACCGGGTGAAAATCCTGAAGCGGACCCAAACAAGATTCTCAGGAGTCCAACGCTGCGTCTTGGCGATCCTGAATCGTGCCAGAACACCATTCTTGGGACTCCCAAGCAGCGAATCAACGTAACTGTTGCGCCGTTGCAATCCTGAATCGTTCTAAAGCACGATATGTAATACGTACGCTGGCATAATCATTTGTCTTGCAAATTGCTGCAACGAATGTGCGCGACGCTAGACGAGAGCCACATTTTGTAAAGGAACCAATCTCATTCCGTGAAGCTCTTGTAGTTGTTTGATGAATGTGCGCGGCGCTACGGCGATAGCCACATTTAGAAAACGACCCGTCCTCAATTCGTGAAGCTCTAGCAAATCTCAAAACGAACGTGCACGACGCTAAGGCGAGAGCCACATTTTGTAAAGGAGCCGCCGTCACTCCGTGAATCTCTTTTGCAATTTTTCCCCAACCCTCCTGTGGAGTTGGGTCCTGATTTTGAATTCGCAGCATCGCGCGACTTCTCCTCTCCTCCTCGCCCCTTCGTTCCTTCCTCCTTTCCTTATCCTCGTCAGCATCATAATCTTGGTATCAATAACCACCCTCATCATTACCACCGAATGTTCGTCATACCCCTCACGCGGTTCGTACCCCTCGGGGAGCTCCACCGAAGTCCCCAGCGACGGCTCTAGCAGTGCAGGATGCCTCATCCTCCTCTTCTCTGTTGCGTTTTCCCGTTTCGGCTGATCCCTCACACATTTCGTGGCCCCATATGGGGCCACGAAACGTGTGAAGGGTTTTAATTGGTCTGCCGAGAAGGAGCGGGTACCCATGTGAACCCTGCCACTGGGGCACTCGGTGGAGTCCCCTATGGGGCCACGAAACGTGTGAGAGGTCTGCCAAAATGGGGCGGATACCCATGTGAACCCTGCCACTGGGGCCCTCGGTGGCAGGGTTCACATGGGCACCCGCCCCATCTCAGCAGACCCCTCATACGTTTCGTGGCCCCATAGGGGACTCCACCGAGGGCCCCAGTGGCAGGGTTCACATGGGTACCCGCCCCATTTCGGCAGCACCCAAACGTTTCGTGGCCCTATAGGGAGCTCCACCGAGGGTCCCAGTGGCAGGGTTCACATGAGCACCCGCCCTATTTCGGCAGACCCCTCCCATTTCGTGTCCTCATAGGGAGCTCCACCGAGGGCCCCAGTGGCAGAGTTCGCATGCGTACCCGGGCTCATTCCGGCACACCCCCCACGCGTTTCGTGCCTTCATAGAGAGCCCCGCCGAGGGTCCCAGTGGCAGGATTCACATGGGTACCCGCCCCATTTCGACAGACCCCTCATACGTTTCGTGGCCTCGTAGGGAGCTTCACCGAGGGCCCCAGTGGCAGGCTTCACGTTGATACCCGCTCCATTTCGGCAGATCCCTCACATGTTTTGTGCTCCCCTAGGGAGCTCCACCGATGGCCCTAGTGGCAGGGTTCACACGGGTACCCGCCCAATTTCGGCAGACCCCTCACCCGCCTCGTGGCCCCATATGGAGCTGCACCGAGGGCCCTAGTGGCAGGGTTCACATGGGTACCCGCCCCATTTCGGTAGACCCCTTGCACGTTTCGTGGCCCCATAGGGAGCTCCACCGATGGTCCTAGTGGCAGGGTTCACATGGGTATCCGCTCCTTCTCGGCAGACCCCTCACATGTTTTACCGAGGGCACCAGTGGCAGGGTCTCACACGTTTTGTGGCCCATAGGGAGCTTCACCGAGGGCCCCAGTGGCAGGGTTCACATGGGTACCCGCCCAATTTCGGCAGAGCCCTCACCCGTCGCGTGGCTCCACATGGATCTGCACCGATGGCCCCAGTGGCAGGGTTCACATGGGCACCCGCTCCATCGGCAGACCTCTCACACGTTTCGTGGTCTCACGGGGAGCTCCACCGAGTGGCACTGCGGAACCCTCTAACGACTTCTTGTGCATTGAGCGGTCATGTTGTTCGTTTCCATGTTCTTCGGATGGATTGGGATCTTCGCCAGGGTAATTCTAAAATGAACGTGCGTGCTGCTAAGGCGAGAACCACATCTTGAAAGCCACCCGGCCTCCATGTTTCAGGCGGAAGCCCGGCCCGCCCGTCGGACTGGCCTCGGGGTGCGACGGGGAGGAGTTATTCATAAGGAAGTTGATATGGAATGAAGGAGGAATAATATTCATAACATCAGCAATTATACTTCTTCTTCTTCTTCTACTACTACTACTACTACTACTCCTACTACTAGTACTATCACTAACCATAGTAATAGGTTTACGAAGAATAGCAGAACACATGCTCATACTAATACAAAGCGTACTAAGCATACTGCTAACACTAAGATGCGTAAAACGAACAATCATATCTAGGATGCGACTAAGAATGATACTACGAATGATATAATGAATTTCAATGGTGCCATGGATATCACGAACACTAATAAGACTAATAATAGGAGTAAGAAATTAAGCATCGTAACCGTAATGATACCATCAATAACCGGTTTACCAATGCGATTATTCGTATTCGTAGTTCCAATATTAGTAGTATCACGAATGTTATTATTGTTTTAATGAATGAGCATATTAATGCTAATAGGAAGAAGAAGACACATCAAACACATTGTACTACTAATGCTACTGATAAGAAGAATGGTAGTGTCACGAAGAAGGAATGCATGAATCATACTACTCATACTACTGATAATAATAGTGGTAATCATTAGCAGAATACTACTAAGGAGAGGAATAACATGAACATTAATACTACTACGCATAAGAATAATATTATTCGGAATATTTGTTAAAACACAGTAATAATATGAGGAGGAGGAGGAGGAGGAGGAGGAGGAGGAGGAGGAGGAGGAGGAGGAGGAGGAGGAGGAGGAGGAGGGGGATGAGGAGGAGGAGGAGGAGGAGGAGGAGGAGGAGGGAGGGAGGAGGAGGAGGAGGAGGAGGAGGAGGAGGAGGAGGAGGAAGAGATGTTTAGGAGAAGGAGGAGGAGGAGGAGGCGGAGGATCGAGGGTCCACGTCTGTGTTTTGTGATGGTTTTCACAGTTTCTGGGTCTCTGGTGGGTCTTCTCGTCTCCGCGGCTGGGTCCGTCTTGACATTCTGGACAGGGTGCACACGAAAAGATGACTGGGTGCCAACCCTTGAGGTCGTAGGAAGGGGAAGTGGAGGAGGAGGCGTCTGGCTCGTTTTTGCTTTTTCCCAGTCGTTGTCGTCGTCATCCGTCGTCCGTCGTCCGTCGTCCGTCGTTTGTCGTCCGTCGTCCGTCGTCCGTCGTCTGTCGTCGTCGTCGTCGTCGCTGTCCTCGTCTTTCGTCGTCGTCGTCGTCTTTCGGAGTCGTCGCCGTCGCCCACGCCGTCGTCGTCGTCGTCGTCGTCGTCGTCGTCGTCGTCGTCGTCGTCGTCGTCGTCGTCGTCGTCGTCGTCGTCGTCGTCGTCGTCATAGGCAGGTTATGATTTCTTTAGCGGAGTAGTTTTTGTGTTTTCTGAGGTCGCGGTGGTCGGGCCTGCAGAAGGCACCCATGCGAGGTTCGATGATCGAGGAACGAGGTTCTTTTTGCGTTGTGGGCCCCCGCGAGGTTTCTCGTCTTCACGGCTGGATTCTCCTCGGCATTCTGGTCAGAACGCACCTCTGGAGAGGTCTAGGTGCCGATTTTGTGGATGAATGAGGTTTCGCAAAGAGCATTTGCGCACCATCACCGCGCTTAGCAGGGGCCGTCCAGGGCCCTACGTAGGAGGGTGCACTGCCCCTCCTGGCCTTAGCCAGGAGGTCATACACAGGATTGCCCCATACGCATTAGCCAGGCATGGTGGTGGTGTGCAGGTGCTTTCTGCGTGTCAGCGGTTATTCGGCGGCTGCTCGGCGGTCCTTCGGAGGCTACGCGGAGGTCGTCGTCGTTGTCGTCGTCGTCGTCGTCTTCGTCGTCGTCGTCGTCGTCGTCGTCAACGTCTTTGTCGTCGTCGTCGTCGTCGCCGCCGCCGCCGCCGCCGCCGCCGTCGTGGTCGCCGTCGTGGTCGCCGTCGCCGTCGCCGTCGTCGTCGCCGTCGCTGTCGGTGTCGCAGTCGCCCTCGATGTCGCCCTCGCCGTCGCCGTCGGCCGTTGCCGTCGCTGTCGATGTCGCCGTCGCCATCGCCGTCGCCATCGCCGTCGCCGTCGTCCGTCGCCATCGCCGTCGCCATCGCCGTCGCCGTCGTCCGTCGCCGTCGCCGTCGCCGTCGCCGTCGCCGTCGCCGTCGCCGTCGCCGCCGCCGCCGCCGTCGTCGCCACCGTCGTCGTCGTCGTCGTCGTCGTCGTCGTCGTCGTCGTCGTCGTCGTCATCGTCGTCGTCGTCGTCGTCGTCGTCGTCGTCGTCGTGCGTGGTCGTGCGTCGCCCGCGTCGGACGACAATGCTTGTGGACGAGATGTTCCTCTCTACTCCCCCTCCCTTCTCCTCCTCCCTGACCCTCCTCCTGCGATCTGCTATCCGCAGACCTTGGGTTCCCTCCATGGGGCTGCGGCCCTCGTCTTCTCCTCCCTCCCCTTCCCCGGGACCGGTCTTCATCCCAGGCTGCCTTCTGACGGTCTTGGGGCCCAGTGAGGGCCTCCGGACACCCCAAACCGCCAACCAACTCTTCGCGCGTGTGTGTGTGTGTGTGTGTGTGTGTGTGTGATGTTGAGGGCCCGGCCGCCGTGCGCGCTGTGCTGACTATTGCACTTTCTCGATTTCGTCGCTGCGCTCGTGGCTAATGCCTCCCACAAAAGTGTGTGTGTGCCAAGGGCAACTGGGGAAGGCGCGGGGGGAAGACATTATTCGGAAAGCCCCTTATCAAAGTTGCGGTTCCGCATGGCAGGTGGCGACGTCGGCGGCGAGTTCGAGGGGTTGGGCGATCAAGCCAGCCCCGGCGGCGCCTCGGCCGCGGAGGAGGAGGGGCCGCCGCTGGCGAGCGTGGCCAACGATGGCGCGGGAAACGCTGCAAGGGCGCCGCCAGCGGCGGCTGCGGCCGAGGGGTGCGGTGCGGACGCAAACGCCAATTTCCTGATGCCAGGCGACCTGGAGGCCCCCTCCATGGATGAAGGGTACGGCGAGGACCGGAGATGGCGCTTGCGCTGCGTGGGGTCGGCCTTGGCAAGGGCAGAAGGGGGTTCGAGCCAGGGTGGAGGGGCCTCGCCCAGTTTGAAAAAGCTTCGATGGACTCAGAGGGGGTGTGAAAGGGGTGGGGCTGCGCGTCGTTGATCGGCTTCCCTCAGGACGGCGCCTCGGCGCAGATGCAGGAGCACGGCGATGTCTTCCTCACCGACAGGGAGATCATGAAGAAAACAATTTTGCGAGGAGAACCCATTGTCTTCTGTTCGGATATGCGTGGTTCCACCCGGAAGACCCTGCCGAGCCAAGAGCCAGGCGTCCGCGGGAAAACAGTCGCCCTCCGGCAGCACCATGGGAAGGCGGTCGTGCAGGCGGGGTTCGGCCAGTATCACATTGGCACGTACGACGACGGCTCGAGCGCGGAGGACCAGCCAGGCGTCCCGCGGATCCACTTGAAGCTGCCGCCGCC